AACGAATAGTGGGATTGACCGTCACATTAAAACACCCCAACGGCTGAAACGAGAGCATGTTTAGTGTGACGGGGATTCGAACCCGCGACCCGCAGATTGCGAGTCGAGTGCCCTAACCACCTGGCCATGCCGGGCCAGTTTACTCGGTGCTTTATATATATATTATAAGGAATAATAGATGTTTTACTTTAGACATAATTCGGTACATGTTTTTAAAAGCAAACGCACGTGCTATTTATCGGTATTAATTGCTTGGCTACACCACACGAACCAAGTGTTCCAAGCGGTACTCCACATGGTCACAAACTAAACACACTGTTGAACCGCCAAATATTTGTCCACAGACTCACACTAATCCACGCGACAACAAAATACGAGGGAGGTAAAAAATACCACAAACCAGGGTGGGCACCTCTCCGCTGCTATAGTGGTAACATGGGGTTAACCCTATTTTTTTGCGAGTTACACGACTTTCAATTCAAGCATATATATATATACTGTGATAAAAGAATCTGGATTTTTTTTACCACCTTTTAATCAAGAGTTGTATTTTAAATTGAAACAATTAACATTATGGTAATAAGTTTAATTAATAAGTTTGATTTAAGGACGTCATTTAAAGTATTGCCAATATAAATGTGTTATTCTAAGATTTCGTTTCCCCCCTAAACAGTTTACATTGTTTGTTTGTAATTAAACATAAATCTACACAATGGGCTACGTGTACTCTGCCCACCACGGGTATCGAAACCCAGTTTTTAGCGTTGTAAGTCCGCAGACATACCGCTGCGCCACTTTAGAAATATAATCAGATATCAGGACATAAATATAAGCAGACGCTAATTGATAAAATAAAAATATAATATTAATAATAGGCACTTGGAATGTATTAATTTAAGAGAACCTGTAACTTACGAAGTTATTAAAAAGATTCACTTTAATTTAAATAAATTAGTGTAAGATGATCTTTCGGTGATAAATAAGGTAGTTGGAGATAAAGTTTTGATTTCATCAGAACAATCCCTTTAATTCATGAACATTATTCAAAGATTACATTTTAAATTATAAAAATGTTAAATTACAGAATTTTGATTTCATTCTAACAATTTGAAACTCCCTTTAACTTACCAATATTTTTAAAATGCTCATTTTTATACATTAATTTAAAATAACCCTTATTCCATGCATATATCATTATAAGATGTACTTTTTAAAAGTAATTTTGTTACGAAACTTTAAAGGCAACATTACAAATACCATCTATTAATATCAGTATCATCGTTTACGTCTTATACTCCCCCCCCCCCAATGTCTCAGCGGTAATTCTGAAGGTTTATAACGCTAAAACCCAGATTTCGATACCTGTGGTGGACACAGCACAGCTAGCCCATCGGGTAGCTTTGTGCTTAACAACAAACAAGTATACATCTGATGTATCTTGGAATAATGTACACAGAAAGACAAAGCTGGAAAGTAGGATTTAATTTACAGACATTATTTCGAAATATGTTCGTTTATTTATTTATCTCACTTTAGTACTTTTAAAGTACGAAATTAACGGATATTCTATACATTTGTTACGTTTACATGAAAGTAAACGAGTTAGGTTTTTTATATTTATCCAAAAGGAATTATAGTTGAGATCATAAAGCGCCATCTATGACTTATCTTTGTTTAAATACTTAAATACGAAATTAACGGATATTCTTTACATTTGTTACGTTTACATGATAGTAACGAGTTAGGTTTTTTTATATTTATCCAAAAGGAATTATAGTTGAGATCATAAAGCGCCATCTATGACTTATCTTTGTTTAAATACTTAAATTTAGTACCTTTAAAATACGAAATTAACGGATATTCTATATATTTGTTACGTTTACATGAAAGTAAACGAGTTAGGTTTTTTATATTTATCCAAATGGAATTATAGTTGAGATCATAAAGCGCCATCTATGACTTATCTTTGTTTAAATATTTAAGTTTAGTACCTTTAAAATACGAAATTAACGGATATTCTATGCATTCGTTGCGTTTACGGGAAACTAAACAAGTTAGTTTGTTTTTAATTCATATAAATTAAGTTATTGTTGAGATGATAAAACGCCACCTATTATTTATTTTCTTTTATATATATTTTACTATAATTTTTTAATGACTTAATGTTGGTCAAAGTTTATTGCTACCAACGAAAATGATTTTAATTTGTTTATTTGTTGTGAAAGGCACAGCTACACAATGAACTATCTGTTTATAGTAGTTTGAGCCTTTAGAGTTACTCTAAGCCACGGAGGAGGGGGGCGGGGGGGGGAGTAAATGAACTGCAGTGATAACAAGAATGTGGGTGTAACTGAAACTTTATTCGGTGTTTAGAAATTAGAAAATGGTATAGTAAGGTTCTATTATATCAGAAAACAAAACATTATAATTTTATTGGAGTTGCGATATAAAGTGTATTTTTGTCCATCTTTTTCCAGTTAAATATAGTATTGTAAACT